AGCACCTATTATCTGCAGAGCACATTTGTAAATGTTTTACTTCATTAATTTATTTAATCCTCAATACAACCCAATGAAGCATCTTTAAAGATAAACTGAGACACCAAGGGAGTTCGGTAATTTGTACAAATTCCTATAGTTAATTAAGTGATAGAGCTGGACTTATAAAACCAGGAAGTCTAGCTTCAAAGCTCAGGCCACACGCTAATTACCAGGACCAATGACCATTAAAAGTTGTGATATATACTTCCAGATAATTTTTCTTGAGGGAGTGGAGGCACACACATGCATATGTGAGGGTGCAGATGGGTAAAAACTACACAAATGGAACTATACTAGAGGTCAGCAAACTATAGCTGATGGTCTCACTGTCCGTTTATATATATCGCCCATATATATATATATATAATATATATAACATAATATATATATAATATTATATATATATAATATGAATGGAAAATGGGATTTACATTTTTACATTTTGGAGAAAGAAGGGAATAAAAAAAGAAGGGTGGCATTTCATGACACATAAAATTCAAATTTCAATGTTCATCAGTGAAGTTTTTTGGGGACGGTCATCTTCATTTATCTAAGTAAGACTGTGGCTGCTTCTACACTGTCAAGGCAGAGTTGAGTAGTAGCAATAGAGATAGTGTGACCTTGTAAAGCATTGAATATTTCTATCAGGCCCTTTACGGAAAGACTTTGCAGACTCTTGTATTATACCATACATGATACTTTAAAACTTTCTTGGTCACTGAACATATCATTTTCAACCTTTCAGATTTCCTTAATTTATTTAAATAGCTATAAAATAAATATGCACCTAAAATTATCATTTATTGATGAAAATGTTATATGCTTCACCAAATTGCTCTCAAAATAGTTGGATTAATTTATTTCCCCCACTAACAGAATGTGAAAATGACCTCCATTTTGGTGGCCTGGGTACCTGAATTTCAAGAAGTTTCATACCTGTCTCACCTGAATACAAGATCTTCCCTCAACTTCTCAGAAATCACCCAGCATTGATGCTTAGTTCTGAGCTAAGCCACTCTTTTGGGCTACCTGGTCCAGTCAATTTTGTATAGATTTATATAGAGGGCCCCAATTTGCATTCTTTTCAGTTTTCCTATCTTTTTAGCTTGGAGCTATCACATGGAAACTTTTGTTCTTTTTAAGTAGTTAGAAAAGTGGAAGTGTAGCCACTTCCTTTACGTGTCCTCCTGCACTGGCTACTTTTGTGGGCCATCAGGTCCCTCCCATTCCATGCTGAGACTTGGGAACTGCCTTCAGTAGAACAAAGCCACCTTGCCTAGTGTCATGTCTCCTTTTCAGAGACAAACACATCCAATAACTGGTCAATGCAGATATATTGAAGCCCACTCATTTGAACTTAAGGGAATACAATTAAAAAGTATCACCCCAACTCCAGAGATCTTTACACAATCCACTAAGTCCCATTGAATTTAATCACAGTGAGACTTCTCTTGCCCAACTCTCTCATCACACAGATGTCTTCCTGAGAACACCACTGCACAAATTGTCTCCAATCAAATCTGCATCTAAGAGTCTGTTTCTCAGAGAAACTGACCTAAAACACTCCTCTCTAACTCTTCCCAAAGGAAGACAGATGTGATATTTGATATGACTCCTGAGTTTAGGAGAAGAAAGTGAGTACATAAAGTTCAGCCCCTCCCACTGTCTCATTTTCTGGGCCAAAATCCATGCAGACTGCTGCGTGCCCTTCCCGCTACTGTCCTTTGCAGGGCAAGCACCCTGCTTCATGCCTCAAACTATGCTTCTCAAGGCAATTTTGAGCAGCCACCAGTCTCTTCTTAGAGTAATGAGGCTTCAAACTATGTGACAAGGAAGAGGTAGGTCTAAGGGAATCTTCTCTGAAGTCTATTTTTCCTAGGATTCTATCTCCCAGAATCTAAATGTTGATGAGGATACTAGAAGTCCAATTGTAGAAGTAAACCTAATCGAGGATCTCCATTTTGTCAATGATTATGTAAATGATGTGGTCTTTATCTGCTTTATTCCTTTGTCTTTGTTTTCAAAACTATGGGACAGATATGAATTGTGAGTATTATCCTAAACCACAATGAAAAGAATAACACTATATACTTCCAATAGGTAAATCTTCATTCCTCATTAGTAACTATTAACAGTCTTAATTAATCATCTAATTTATCTATATTTACAGAGAGATGCTACCCCGGCAACTCCTTAGACTTGGGGAAGGTCTTAGTTCAAATCTAGGTTGGGGATTTTAGACTTAAAAAGCAGTTTTCAAATAGGAAAACTCAGTCTTGTTTCCTTATTGTTAATGGATCTAGAAACTACCAGTCAGATTTGGTTTAAGAATTAAAAGTAATAATATAAACAAAGTGCCTCTGGCAAGACCTTATGAACTAGGTATCCAATAAATGTTTATTCACATTATCTTACTGAATATTAATTCAGTAAGTATTAAGAACTATTACATTATTATACCTAAATGGGTGTACTGTAGGTTTTTCAGATAAAAACCAAAAATCCTCTCTCCTTCACTTCCCAAAGGTAGGATGGCTTTTGATCCCAAGGAGAGTGTTTCAAGTCAAAATTCTGAACAATTAGTAGGTGAATAAAGCTCATACCAAAAATAAGGAGTGCAAAAGTAGGTAACAGATGACAGAGAATTAGAAACAGAGAACAACAGGCAATCGTGTCCCCTTTCCCCTTTATGTTATGGAATGCACAGAAAGGATGCATATAGACTGAATGTTTGTGACCCTCCTGAAGTTCACATGTTAAATCCTAACCCCAAAGTGATGGTATGGGGAGGCAAGATATTTTTAGGGAAGTGATTATGTCATGAAGGCAGAGCCTTCTGTAATGGGATTAGTGCCCTTATAAATGAGATCCCAGAGAATTCCCTTGTCTCTTCTACCGTGTGAGGACACATTGAGAAGACAGTGTCTATGAACCAGGATATAGGCCCACCAGACAATGCATGTGTTGGCTCCTTGATCTCAGACTTACCAGCATCCAGAACTGTGAGAAGTAAATGTATGCTGTTTGAGCCACCCAGTATGTGGCATTATGTTACAGCAGCCCAGACTTACTGGGATTCTATGCCTGCGAAGAGCATCGTTAGCTTTGGTCACACAGTACCCCAGAAATGAGATAGGGAAGAATCTCCACAGACCGGCTGTCCATGATGGCAGTTACCAGACTGGGACTTAATCAGATCTAGCCCCAGGCATCAAATAACTTAAGAGCTGCCTTCGTTCTGTTAGCATGTGGCAAAGAAAGAATGAGATGATTAGCCTGACCATATTCTCTTCTCCTAGAGAGACAGAATCAAGTCCCCTGATACTTTTTTAGAAAAGCAGCTTGAGGGGCACCTGGGTGGCTCAGTTGGTTGAGCATCTGACTCTTGATTTTAGTTTAGATCATGATTCCAGGGTTGTGGGATCAGATTGAGCTCTGCATGGGACTTCATGCTCAGTGCAGGGCCTGCTTAAAATTTTCTCCCTCTCTCTTTCTCTCTCCCTCTGTTCCTCCCTCCTTCCCTCTTTCAGGGCACCTGGGTGGCTCAGTCGGTTAAGTGTCTGACTTCGGCTCAGGTCATGATCTCAACAGTCACGAGTTCAAGCTGCACATCGGGCTCTGTGCTGACAGCTCAGAGCCTGGAGCCTAATTCAGATTTTGTGTTTCCCTCTCTCTCTGCCCCTTCCCTGCTAGTGCTGTCTCTCTCTCTCAAAAGTAAATAAATATTAAAAATTTTTTAAAAAATATTCTCTCTCTTCCTCTGCCCCCTTCCTCACTTGCACATGCTCTCTTTTTCTCTAAAATAAAAAAAAAGAAAACCCAGGGACTTAATAAGAAGCTAAACTGTGTGCTTAAGCAATAACCAACACTCAAAACTCACCAGAGAACCAGTTAACCAAGATAAGAATGTTCACTTATGTAAGGCTTAATGCAACTTGATGGTACGCATATATTACTCTGGGAAGTTCTCTGCTGTGAACCCGCATTCAGATGAAAGATCTTGCACACTAAGAATAGTAAAACTAGAAAAACTAAGAAAAGAGTGAGTTTCTTTAAACGTCTGGACAGTCCAGGAAAAGAACCTGGGACTGGAGGTAGAGGTGGATGGCTTTGGGATGTAAGTAAACTCCATGGATGCAATCAATGACTTGCTTTGTATTTTTTGCCTCTAATACTTGTGAGTTCTGTGAACTCAGAACTATTAATACTGTTAATATGAGTCATCTAGTCTAAAAACCAAGACAAACTTCACACACCTCCTTAAGAACTAGTGAATTCCAGAGAGGAGCTGAATGCTCCTTACCAATTTTATTGAAATCTGTTGAATATAAACTTTATAGTAGTCTTCTTAAGTCCTTTGTTATTTAAAACAGGGAGAGAGAAAGAAAGGGAGAAGGAAGAGAAGAAGATAAAGGAAGGAAGGGTAGGGGTGGGTTGGAAAGACAAGGGAAATGTATTCCTTTAAAATATGTTCCCTAACTCTTTTCAAAAGACTATGATTGTATTCCATGTGTTATATTCCAGAAAGCAGTTTGTTTTACAAATCATAAGACCTGACAAAAAGGACAGACACAGACGGAAAAGTTACCAAAGCACACTCTTTCTGAATTCTATTAGGCATTCTACACGGTATGGAGCACAGAGACAGAGGAGATTTAAAGAATGTGCTCACTTCTTTGTAAACATAAGGCACGAGAGATTCCAGTTCAAAGGAACAGATCACTAGTTTAAGAAATGGGAGAAAGTTCTGAGACCTCTCTCAGTCCAGTCCTACCAGTTCCTCAGGAATGGAGAAATTTCTGCAAAGTAGTTAGCTCCATAAACACATTGGCAAAGCTTAGTGTTACACAGGAGAGAAAAATATTGCAAAGTATTTAAAAAACCATCCTCCATATTTTTCTGCTTTTTCCCTTACATTCCCTTCTATTTTGTAGAAAGGAGGAAAGTCTCCAGCTCACCTGTTTCAAACCCCACACTTGGCACTAAGTCCACGGTTCCATGAAAGGCTCCGGCCCACGCTGAGGTAGCAGTGGTGACTGTAGTCGGATCTGTCTTTGTGATGTCACACTGGGGAGCAGGAATCCTGGCCGTGCGCACTGATGGCATCAGCAGGGGCCCATAGGATGGATCCAGGGCAGAGCCAGCAGAAGGATGGTGGTGGTGGTGATGGTGGCGGTGATGCATGTGGGCATGGGGGTGGTGCCGCATGTACATGTCATGCATGTGGCTGTAGGATGGGCTCACCTGAGATGCCAAAGGATAGTGCCAGGGCTCGGATGCAGGTGGGGGAGGGGCTGGGCCAGTCTGATGCAGGCCGTGTCCTGGCCAGGGGCTAGGGTCAGCTGCGGTAAAGGTGCCAGGGGGTGCAGTGACCTGGAATTCAGGATGAACACCCCCCAAGCAGGGTGCAGGTGGGGGCTGGTAAGAGCTTGTCCAAAAGGAAGTCGGGAAACTATTCCGCTGGCTTGAGAGAGCTGAGCTGTCTGAGAAGACAGAAAAATTATTTACATAAGATTCAGTTCTAGGATAGACTTGCCTCTACTTGTCCAATATTTTACAAGCAGGCTAATTAGTATGCACTCTTCTCCCCACACAGAGGTAAATTGATACCAGGTAAGCCTCTGAACTCCCATACCAAGTCAATGCACACGGTTCAAGGTGCTGAATGAGTGCCTCACACCCCTTGTTTGCTTAGCTTCTGCAGTCATGGTCTAGGCTGAGGTTTGCAAGCATGAGACTTAAAAGCTTCATTTCCTATGGGGCAGCTTGCTACCACCAGGTCTGAACACAGGTCACAGGTACATGCATCGCAGGTAAAGAAAGTTTATGCCATATATGTGATTCAGGAGATTGGAAATGATGTTTACCAAACTTCTTATACATGCAAATACAATTTTCATTTGAACTGAACATTTTAATGCTGAAAGTAATAAATGGAAGATGGCACTTTATTATGCTCACCAACACTCATTTTCTTTCAAGATAATAGCTGTTAATATTTAATGACAGTGACCAAATGCCCAATCCTAGTCCAGGGGCTTTTCATGGATAATCTTACTGGAGCCTCACTCCAACCCTATGAGGTAGTTATTGTTATTGTCCCCATTTTAGAGATATGGAAATTGAGGCAGGGAAGAAGACCAAGACTTCACATCTAGCAAGTAGGAAATTGGGCTTTGAAGATAGGTAGCCTGCCTCAGTGGCTGGCACTCTTCATAACTATGCCACAAGAGGGTATGATTGCAACACGAATATCTAGAATCTGGTCATCATTCTGTGGAGATTATAAGTAGAGGAGATTCAAGCATGGATAATAGATTTGAGGAGGTGTTTGGGGGGAGAGGGAATATAAATAAAAGCACTTAGAGATAAAGAGGGGAAACCCTCCCCAACTGTTGCCTTCAGTTAAATTTCTCCACTCAATCATCCTAACTTATTTATAGATGACCTATTATATACCAAGCATAGAGAGATCAGGGATGCCCAGAGAGATATCACTCTTAATCACAGTCTAGCAGGGGACACATAAACAAATAAACATGTGCAGTCTGACCTGGTAGGGACTCTCATAAAGGAAGGCAACAGAGAGAGGGCACAGAAGCAGCCTAAGAAAAGATCAGTTGGAAAGGTGGGTAGGGCTAGCTTTGTGAAGAGGTAGGGAAGGGTGGTTTAGGCAAAAACATACATGATAAAAAGGCCAAAAATTAGACACTCATACACACACACACACACACACACACACACACACACACACAGTAACATGAGGAAAGAATTCTGTGGGTAGAAGGTGGCAAAAAAATTAGACTAAAAAGTCAGACTGGGTCCAAGAAAGACCCAGATGGGTATGACCTTGCGAGCCATGTAACGAATGTGGATGCTATCATGAGAAGGTGCCAGTAAGCTTTGAAGGGTTTTAATCTAGGGAATGATATAGTCAGATCTGTGACTGGAAAGATCCATCCCTCCAGCCATAGTCTGCTCTGTACTGTGTGGCGTAAAAGAGCAGGCACCAGACTGGGAGTCTAGAGAGCTCAGCCAGAGAGCTAGCACCTAGGAATTACTTTATCTGATTTTATGACCTCACAGGGATCTGTTGATCTCTCTGTGGCTCAGTTTCTTCCATATGAGGTATGTGAATGAAAATTCCAAATATCTTCTCGCTCTATACTTCTATCATTCTGTGAAGTGGCCTATGATGTCTATCTATAGATGAAGATAAGGTTGCCTAGCACATTAGTTATGCATGTGGAACACTATTTTCATACAGGGTTCTACACAAAAGAGCCTAGCTAGATTTTTTCATTAAATGAAGAATATCCTAAGAGTACTCTGAAATAAAAGTATTCACAAGTCTGACATCCATGTTCTCACTTCATAAATGTCCAGGACATAGTTTTCTTACCTCAGAAGAAAGATTATGTAACTTGAACCAACCACAGTATGCGTGATTTGACTAACATACCTAGGATATCAACATGATGTTCACATGTTTCGTTTCTCTAAGTCCCCTAAAGGCTGTGCCACTAGCACTGCAAACGTGGGCTCTCTCCCCCTCAGCCCTACAGCAGATCTACCATCATTCACCCTGTCCATTCTATGGACAGACAGCTATTCGTTGTCTCACATTCAAGTCTGTCTCCGCAGAATCTCCAAGGATCTCAAAACCCTTGGGGAAATAAAACAAATAATCATATTCTCCTAAAGGGAGAGGATGGAAGCACGTATTGTTCTTCAAGTCTTCAAACAGTCCAGACAAACTTTTAATTGAATGGCTTTGTTTTGCCACGATCACATCTATCAGAAAATAGCACTTAAAGTCAAACTTCCTGGCATGAGGGCAAATATATTTTATTTCAGAGCTGTCTTCCTTTGACATATGAAGAGTGGGTGCTAATGACCAACAAAGAAAGTTGTGAAAGCTGTGAGAAGAAAATTCAATTTGCCTTAAATGATGGCCATTTGTAGAATATTCTGTCAACACCCACAGTGCTAGCTGTCAATGTTTAAAATTAAAACCCACACAAAAAGTTTATAGAGCCTCCTTATATTATACAGCACAGCTCTGCCAGCTCCAGGATGGCACTTTTCTGCCACTTTGCTGTCACAGACTCAATCTTTGGCACCAAACCCTTCATTCTGGTCATAACTTTCATCTTCTGGTGGGGCCACAAACCCATCATGAAAATTGCGAAACCCAACCCAGAAGTGTGTGACAGAGATAGCAAGTTCCCCTAATGAAAATCCCCCATTAAAATATCAAAACTATGCCATTTTCCTGGATGCTTTTCTTTTATTTCCTTTCATTTATATATATTTGTACCCAATTTCATTTTATAGATGTTTAAGCATTTTGGATATGCACATACAATGTGGATGATGAACAAATTCCTTACCCAAAATACTACCCTATTTATGAATTATTGTATTATAATTAGTGAGCACATTATCAATGAAAGTGGAAATCTATTTTTAAAAGTGTGCTCCAAATGTGCTGAACAAAGCTTTAAAATGCCTCAGGGAAAAATAAAATTAGAATCAACTTATTATTTTCCCAGTCCTGTTATGTCTCCTGAGATTAATATAAAGTTTGCAGAGATCTATGTAGCCTTTTTCAAAAACAGTGTTGCATTTTTCAAGTAAATGAAACAATACTGAAGAGAAAATATGTTTATGGAGAAGTCTACACTTCAAAACCACTATTTGGTATCTTGTTAAGAAATAATCTTAATACAAAGAAACAGATGATATGCTTTGTTTCATGCCTGGGAATCAATATGCTTTTTTCATATGTATGTAAATTTTTTTCATTACATGACTTTTTGCCTATGAGTACTTAATCACAGACACATTTGTTTGATGAAAAAGCATTATGAAAAAACTGTGCACAAACTATTCCCATGCCATATTACTTTTCAGGTTAGTAGAGGCAATTTAGAAGCGTCAGATGTTAACACTCCATGGTGACCTTGGGCTTAATGGTACTAATATTTGGATGATGTTAATACTGACATCCTGGCACATACAAAATAATCTGAATACACTTTGGTCCAATTTACATTTGGAATTTAAAAATATTATGTGTGCGCGTGCACACACACACACACCTTATTTTTAAATGATAAAAATGACAAAATTGATATGCTGTCTAATACAACCCATCCAAGGCTACCCAGTAATCTCACTGTGTGAATTATACAGAAATATAGCTTAAAGACAAGAAGATTAACATGGAACATCAAGTTGTTCTTTCAATTTCATGATAGCCGGGATATCTTTTGTTTTAACTCTAAATATTTCTGGAAAAAAAATCTAAGGGCAAACAACTTAAGCCAGAGAAAATTCAACATTCAATTTCAAAATTTAACATTTTATTACTTAGTTTTGAAAAATAAAAACAATATTAAAAGGAAAATGGGACAATAAAATGTTGTAAAACCTCTATCTTATCTTAAAAATCTCCAGAAAACACATTCTTAGAATAGTGATTCAAGACATCAATGTTAAAAGATAACATTTACCTTTTTATTAACTTCAGTGAAAAAAAATGCAACTCAATTCTTAACCCAAAGGGTCCTTGCTGTGATTTAATTCCCATCCTTTTATTCTGTTTTCCATGAAAACAAAGTGTTGGGTCAGAGGTGAAAGGCTACGTGTTCCAATATTTTCTGTCACTCAGGAATTAGGCATTACCATTATGTCCAAAGATGGTCCTCTAGTTACTCTGTTCTAGTGTTGTTCAAAATGGGCATTGTAACTCTACAATGAGAGTTTCAAGGAGGCAGGATGAAGTAAGTCAGACCACACTTTCATTCCAAGTGTTTGTCCTAAACTTGCCATCAGCGATAACCTCTAGTGCCTTCTGGAGGTGGAGCCCAGCTGTCTTCCCCAGTCTCACGAGCTTAAGAGACCTACCCTCTTTCCATTGCTCCTCTTTTGTTATTTTAGGCTAGTGCTCATTTTGAGAGGTCTTTCCTATGGGAATGAGTTGCTCTAAGTAGATGCTATGTAAATCAATCAGCACTAAATATTTACTTTGCAACAACAGAACAACAAAATATCAAATTCTCACCATTCAGCATGGTTTTTAAGTTAATGATATATTTTGCTAAGCCTCAACTACTATTTGCCTTTCCTACACACACACATACACACACACACACACACACACACACACACACACTTTCTGTAGTAACACTTTGGGCACTGAGACCGATGCATAGACATATTTGAAGCCAATGTTTCTATTTAGATGGGGATAAGAGGGCCATTAGATTCATTAGGTTTTCTCAACTGAGAAGCCCTATTGAATCCCAGTAAAATGTATACTGGGATATGTTGTGTCAAACAGAGTACAAATATTTCCTATCAATTGTTTGCCTAAAAACTGCAAAACATCTAAAGAAGACCTCCCTAACTCCATCAAGACACACACTCAAAGTATGACCATTATTCCATTATTAGCTGACATTCTATCCTTGTCCAAAGATTTACTGTGGAAATATATTCTGCAACCAAACATAACTCAGTTTTAAATTCCTTTGTAGCACTATACCACTTGTGTAGCACTGTAAAAACTTCATGCCATAAATTAGACTCTTTAATTTAATACAGCTGGCTAGCAGCTCCTGCATAAAGTATCACTGCAATGGCCATCAACATTGTCAATAGTGCTGAGTAGCTACTTTGTCCAAGACATTGTGTTTTTGCCAGAAATTCAAACAATGTTTCTGGATAAAAACCCAAGGCTGGTTTTCTATATGCCAAGTGAGTGGACACTTACTTAAGGAAGAGAGATAAGACATCATTGTTTAGCACCTTGCATAAAGCCATGTGCCACAAGTCATTCATATGCATTATCAGAGAATCCTTACAATAACCCAAGGAAATGCATATCAATCAAAACATATTATAATTTAAATTGAGCTGAGAACAATTTTAAGTAATTAATCCAAGATCATGTTGCCATCAGACATTGTAAGGCCCACACTGGAAACCCAAAACAAACAGAATCCAGTGACTGCATTATCCAAAACTGTGTTACTTTGGCAATTAACACAAAATTACCAGTAATTCTTTTCACTGCACATGGGAATCTCAATTTAATATACCTCTCTTAAAGATATTATTTTCTAAATCTTTAATTATATTTTTGGGGATCTCCTTTAAATCACATCCAAGTTATGAACCTTTATTAAAAATTGATTAATTCACAAGTAGAAACAACTATGGAAAAGTTCTAACACAAATGGAAAGTAAAAAATAGACTTGAGATCACAGAACCTTACAGAGACAAGATTTTAACAATCCTTTCATTCAGTCCCCTTATTTTATACATAAGGAGATTATAACCAAAGATTTCTTAATGCTAATAAATTCTACATCGACAACTTCTTTTATTTTCTAATCTGTGATAAATGATATGAACTTGATTCATCTAACTCAGTCATAATCATTCAATTCATATTTATTCTTTATTTTCCAGATAGAAATGCATTACCTTGAGGGGAAATGAGGTGAGAAAACTCGATATGATGTATGTAGTCTTAGTGGAAGAGGGAGAGTTGGAACTTGAAGTGTCTGCTGCATTTGCCTGCACTACCCTGACGCACAAAGCTCACAGACAACACCCTAAAAATTCTAGTCTCTGCCTATCACTCTGCTTCTCATTCCACTCATGGCAGCACTGCTGCTTCTCACTGGACACTCTAAGCTCAGTCCTTCCACAGGGCCTTTGTACTGGCTGTTCCCACTGCCTCAAATAACTTCCCCCTAGATATTCATATGATGAACAACACTCTTATTTCCTTCAGGTCTGTACTCACATGTAACAGCTTCAGAAAGAGCATCTATTATCGCCCTAAATAAAACCACACCTAGCACTTCATTATATACTTAGTACCTTTCTCTTCCACTAAAATAAGCTCCATGAACATAGAGGTTTAGGCTCTCCTGTTCACTGATATATTCCCATGACCTAGAACATACTAGGACCTTTAACATTTGCTGTGTATGTCAAGGAATGAAACAGGAGGCAGGTTTGAGACCAAATATAAAATAATCCCAAGAAAATTGTAATAATAGTTGCTAAAACATTACCATTGTCTATCCTTTCTATATAGAAATTTGTTATCAGCCCAAAGATTTCTATTCAGTCACACAGAAAATGGGGAAAACACTGGACTACAGAGTTTTTGCATATATACAACACCTCACTTAAAACTATCCTGTTTAGAATACTTACTATAGACAATCACTCACGTCTAAAGTTTGGGGTTCCTGTTTCTACATTCCAGATTAAATGATTACTAGGCTGTGTATACCACTATGTTTGAAAAGAAAAAAAAAAAAAAGTAGGCATTGTATTTAATACTTTCCAGTGACAGATTATCCTGACAAGATTTATTATTGATATAAAAACTATTTATTAAAACCAGCCAATTTACTGAAGTTTTCCTGTTTTTACCTTCCACACATTTTACAAGTATTTACCGCATGGTACCAAACAGAATATTGGTTGATTCCACAAAGATCTTAGGCCTCATAGAAGGACTAAGTTCTCAGTTTTGTGGGAAATCTGTAACATTTACTAATCAAATAAAGCAATTATGTTTTCCAAATCATTTCTATCAAGGTCTCCATTATTTGGAGGTGCATTCTACCTTCCTCTCTACAGTCACTACCATCTTAGTGTTGTTCATATAAACTAAGTAGAAGAAAGGAGGAAGGAAGGAAGGCAAGCTGGCAGAGAAGTCAGGCCCAGTAATTTCATACGGCCACGACCTCTCCTACAGTGGAGTGGAACCGTTCCTCTGATGCTGAAAGGCAATGACCATGTAGCACCTCTTGCGTGCCCTCCACCACAGGTGGCCAGCCTTTCCTCACCATAGGATCACTTGGGACACTTGTTAAGATGTGATTCCCAGAGCCTCCCTCTGGAGTCTCTGATTTAATAAGTCTGAGTTAGGAGCCTGCAATCTTTGTTTTTAACAGCACTAGATTAAGGATTTTCAAACTTGAGCCTGTATCGGAATCACCCTAGGGCTGCTTAAAACACAATTTGTTCTGTCCCTGAGCTTTAGAGTCAGTAGGTCTGGGGTGCGGCCCAAGAATCTGCAATTCTAACAAGCTCCCATGTGACGCTCATTCATGTTCCTGGTATAGGAATCCACACTTTGAGAATGATTTTCCTAGAGGCTTCTTATAACCAGGTGAGTTCAAAAGAAACATCTATAACACATTTCTCTACAACTATCATTAAAATGATGTGTTATTTTCCCTACACATCTAATTGGCCCAATTAGATGTCACCCAATGATCTTCTGTGAGCCAGTAATCAGATTCAAACACACCTCTGTGACCTCTGTAGAGAAGGAAATAGAGAAGAGGATGCCCAAAGTACTGCTTTCCCTTACCAAGGTAAAAACAAGTCTAAACCATGCAGACAAAGGCAATAACGTCTGGGCTGTAAACTGAAAGAGTTCATACCACAACAAAGCAGGACAGAGAAATCTATCAGGAGAACACTGAAGGCTTTCAAAGTTTGTACTTCTGGGTCAGACTCAGATTTCTGCTATGTCACCACGTAGCACCTAGTGGAATGAGCAAGAGCTAATTTTTAAAAGCTGATCCAGGCACGCCTATTATTTAGAGATCCAAATTGGGCCACTGGGGCTTAAGGAATGGTGCTTCACAGCTCTGTCCTGCCACTATAAACTCAGGCCAGTTGCATCACTACTTTCCATGAGGAATTTAAGGGGTGTGACTGCATCCTTTCCGACCCTGCATTCCACATGTGACAAAACTGATCCAGTTGTTTGTCTGAAAGAAATTCCTTGCTGTCCTTAAAAATTAAAAGGCAAGTGGATATCCGTCCTCCAGGGGCAAGTCTCCAGCTGGAGCCTGGTACAGGCAGTTGCGAAACAGAGACAGTGCCCTGGAGAGCATCTGCTTTTGAATTCTTACCTCGCCATAGGGGGGTTAGCCCCATCTTGCTTTTTGAAATGGCAGATTCTGGATGGAGGGTGCTGGCTTGGCCCAAAGCTCTTGAGAAGTGTTCATCCACTACTGACCCAATGTCTCCCTGGAAATAAGTGAAAAGGACACAGCGAGAGTTAAGGTACTCCATCTCGGCAGGCTGGTCTTTCTCCTCCTCCTCCTCCTCCTCCTCCTCATCCTCCTCCTCCTCTTGTTTGCTGGGAAGGGTGACTTCCAGAGAGTCCTGCATCTTGCTGTATACCGCTAACTTCTTCTGGGATGGAATAAACAAAACACGGTATCAAAGACAGTTTGTAAAAAAGCATTAACTACTTAACTTTTCACTTAAAAAAGTCTAAATATTAACATATGTTTGCAAACTGATTCTTCTTTGTCTGCTTTACTCCATTCTTTCCCCTCCCCAAACCAGTGTTCTCCTTCCCACCCTAAAAAAAAGTCACTTATCATTATCAGACAGTACGTTTTCAGAGTGTAAAGGACAGGTTTTGTTTTGTTTTGTTGCTAATCTAAACATATGAAAAGGAGAATGACTTTTAAAAAGTGACAGATTCCTTCCAGTTTCTGATCCATGTTTTTATTTTAAAGTTTTAATGCACATAAACATTATAGTTTGGGAAAGAGAGGAACGGGAGGGGGTGTCTGGGGGAGGAATGGAGAAGAAGAGAGCTTTCCATAAATGAAATAAACTAAAATAAAAACAGGAATGTAGCATCTTATAAAAGGATTTGGCAGATGTGCCGAACTCCTTTCTCAAAAATCAAACTAAAATGACAAAATAAGTCTGTGTGAAGATCCATTTGCATGGAACATATTTTGCAGATGTCCCACTTGCCACCATTATCATGGAGGGGGAAAAAAAGATACTATTATGGCTTACTGAAAATAATACAAGATGCTACTAATGGCTGGCGTGGCTTTCAAATAAAAATGAGAAAGTTTTGATAATTTTAGAATATTTTTAAAACATATGATCGTAGCTATAATAATAGTTAATATATATTATGCCAGGCACTCTTATAAAACTTTGAATTTATTGCATCACTTAATTTTTATAATTCTACAGCATGATTATTACCACTATCCATATTTTAAAGATGAAGAAACAAAGGCACAGAGAAGTGAAGTAACTTTCTGAAAGTCACAGAGCATGAGAATGGTAGAGCCTTAATGCATAACAAAAACATGCAGGTGTATTTATGCATGCTGGAGAAAGGCAGGGGAGGGGTATTTGGTGTGGGGGAAAAAAATCACTGACATGATATGTTATTGTTTTCTGATTAGTTAAGTTTTGTATTTGTTAGCCCTGCTTTTCAGTATTTCCAAATGTTTTTCATTGAGCACATCTTATTTTTATAAGAGCAACTTCATTTCGAATTAAACATAAGAAAATACTGCTAAAGATTATAAAATTTATTATCCTAATTATTTGTATACCTGTAAAACCTGATTCTTTGTTATACCATTTTTATTTAAAAAAAAAAGAGGTATGCTGGAAAATAAATGTGAGTAGAAAAAAATAAATCATTCTAGAATACTCAAAAAGCACATAGTTTTGCAAATGTTATCAAAACACATAACCCAGAATCATGTTTCTAATGTAATTACGAGCTTCAAAAATCTATAGCCCCAAATTATAAATGCATCCTTCAATAAACTGAACCTTTTCCCCTGGCAATGAATATGCTGTTCTGTGTGAAATGGGCCTTGAAATGTTCAGGTATATTAGGAGCTATTGGTTATTATTTAGGAGCTGTTATTTATAAATATATGTATTACTTTTTGTTTAAAATCTGTGTCAATATCGTTATCGCTGGTTGATGAATAAATAATTCATTCCTGTGAGTGAATATGCCTTGCTGATGAATGGACGATTGTAATGACTGTGTGGTGATATTTCTTCCAATCTGTTTTGCACAGGTTTGAACACGTTTACATTTAACTTCAATAGTAAAAATGCCACACTAACAAAGGTTATGTATAAAATAAGGGAACTGAACTAAACGACCTCAAAAGTTAGTCCTGACTTTAAATTCCATTATAAAATAAACAAATATTATAATTTATTAGTCAAATCACAGTACTATTTCTCTGTGTGCATGTGTATTTATCTGAATAGTTATACCATTAAAGCATATTCACACACTATCTGCTGAGTACTCCAGCATATTAAGAAGCACTGTTTTTATATAGGAAAGGAGTTAAAACTGATCTAGAGAGTGACTTCACTGTCCACTGGTGTTCGTTACTAACTATGGAACTGATTTGTTTTCCTGTCAATGTCCAGTTCAGCATCAGTATGTGGGAGTAAGATTTTGCATCTAATTGCTTCATTTGTTTAAATTTACATTTATTCTTGGGGCGCCTGGGTGGCTCAGTCGGTTAAGTGGCCAACTTCGGCTCAGGTCATGATCTCAAAGTTCATGAGTTCGAGCCTTGTGTGCTGTACTGACAGCTCAGAGCCTGGAGCCTGCTTCAGATTCTGTGTCTTCCTCTCTCTCTGACCCTTGCCTGCTCACACTCTGTCTCTCACTGTCTCAAATAAACATTAAAAAAAATTTTTTAGGGGTGCCTGGGTGGTTCAGTTGGTTAAACGTCTGACTTCAACTAGGTCATGGTCTCATGGTTCGTGGATTCGAGCCCTGCTTCAGGCTCTGTGCTGACAGCTCAGAAGCTTAGAGCCTGGGGCCTGCTTTGGATTCTGTGTCTCCCTCTCTCTCTGCCCTTCCCCACTCATGCTCCATCTCTCTCTCTCTAAAATATAAATAAACATTAAAAATTTTTTTGAAATAAATAAATTTACATTTATTCTTTAAGTGAAAGAGCCCTGGGCTGTGCTAATGATCCAAAGAAAGGCAGTGTCTTATTCTATTCCAATGAGCAAATATTTCTTAGAGGATAAAAAATTAGTCTTATATATATGTAAAAGATTGTCAAATGCAAATCCTGAGAGAAAGGTAGCATATTATTATGACCAATAATAGCAATAATATCTTAATTTATTAATTGATGGCAGTGGAATTTAACCTATAGATTTTCAGTTTATTTAAGACTATCTAATTTTCTGAATGCTATATAATCTCATGTTATTCTTTCTTGGCCAATTGTTGAATGGTTGTATACAAGGTGAGTTAATTTGAAATTCACCCATGAAAAATTTAATATGAAATGGGAAAAAGTGAACAAAATCTGCCATTGGACCAAAATGCCTTTCATTAGCCATTTTCTAAAAATCATTCTTTTGTTAATGGATGCATTCAGTCCCTATATCATTAATATTTCATACATATGTAATATATGTCTGTATTTACACATATGCATTTACATAAATACACACTGATACATTATTCCTCTTGATAGACAAACACCTGTGATTTTGTAAAAATAATATGTAGAGACTCTATTAAATGCAATTTTTTGGAATGAATTTAAAATACATTTTTTATTTTTCTCTCCCAGCTCTTTAAGGCAGGTTTTCTATTAAGTAAATACATTTGTATGGAGACTATAAAAAAAATAAGTAAAATGGAAAGAAAGCCTATGATACACCTCCCAATAGGTGTATCATAGGCAGGACATAAAACAAGTCTATCATTCTCACTTTTCAGATAAAGTTGAGTCAATTTTCACAAATATAGTGAACCAACTTAAAGATTTACATTTACCACACAGACACAGACACTCTCTCTCTCTCTCTCAGCTTCACCCATCAATACTACTAAAGTAAGAATTCTAAAGTATCCAAATGGCCTGAAAAACTTCCTAAAATGCTAACACTAAATTTGCATACTTTTTAAATTGTTATTGCTGAATGGTATAAACAGAAAAGGCTACATGTCATAAATGTATAGTTTATAACCTTCATAAACTGAGTACACCAAGGAAACTAAGAACAGCTCAAGGACTAGAACATCATCGGGACCCAGAAGGCATTTACTTCCTTCAAGCCACTACCTCCTCAACAGCAACTTCTATCCAGACTTCTATCAGTGTAGAGTAGCCATAACTGTCTTTTGTACTTCATATAAAAGGAATCATACAGCATGTACCCTTTTGTCTCTGGCTTCTTTCACCCCACATCATGTTCATGAGATTCATGCATATTGTTGCATGTAGTAGTTGTAGTCATTCAGCCCTAGCAGATAAGGCTGATTTTAACCAATTTACACATCCAATGCTCCTTTATGGTAGTTCCTGTTGTTCCATATCCCTGTCACTTGGTATTGTATATCTTTTTTTTGTTTTTGTTTTTCAGTTTTGCTCTCCTGATAGATACCCCAATTTTCTTTAAATTTTCTTTTCATTGAGGTGAAATTCACATAAAGTTAACCTTTGAAAAATTTATGTTTTTGGTTTATTATTTTTTAGTGTATTATGTTTTAGTTTTTTATTTATTTTATTATTTTAACCTTTAAAATATTAATTTTTGAGAGACAGAGACAGAGCATGAGCAGGGGAGGGGCAGAGAGAGGGAGACACAGGATCCAAAGCAGGCTCCAGGCTCTGAGCTGTCAGCACAGAGCCCGATGCGGGACTCAGACTCACAAACTGGACCACGACCTGAGTTGAAGTCAGACGCTTAACCGACTGAGCCACCCAGGCACCCCTAAAATTAACCTTTTAAAAGTGAATGATTCTGGGGCATTGGGAATTTCGTGCAGTCACCATCTCTATCTAGTACAAAACATTTGGTCACCTCAATAGGATATTCTGTACCTATTAACTCCCTATTCTCTGACTCCTCTCCATCAGTCCATGATAGCCACCAATGTGCATTCTGTCTCTATGAGTTTATCTACTCCGGACATTTCATATAAGTGAAATCATTCATATGTCACTTTTTTTCCTTCTAGCTTTTTTCTCTTAGCATAATGTTTTCAAGGTTCATTCACAATGTACCAGTACTTCATTCTTTTTATAGCTGAATAATATTTCATTATATGTATATACCACAATCTGTTTATCCTTGTATCCACGGAAGGACATTTGAGTCATATCCACCTTCTGGCTATTGCAGATAGTGCTGTTATGAATATGAGTATACATGTATTTGGTTACATTCCTCTTTTCAGTTCTTTTAGATAGGTATATATGATAGCTGGGTCATATGATAACATGATGCTTAACTTATTAGAAAACTGCCAAACTGTTTCCACAGCAGCTGACCCATATTAGATTCCTACCAGCAGTGTACTATGGGTCCAATTTGTCTACATCTTTGGCAGAAAAATAACACTCGTTATTTTATGGATTTTT